GCCTCCTTAGTGTCCCTATTAAGGTCAGCAAGGGCACTGGATCTGTTATGCAGGGACACAGCAAAAGCTTTGTGTTTATGGTTCACAGCTCTCACCCTGCCAGATCCCACGGTTGTCCAAATTGCCCTTCTCCTTCAGGATCTTTGTGGTAGAGGGGGCTGATAGTGCGGCAGCTCAATAGAGCAGAAGGACTGAACTGGACACCTAATTTCTGCTTGAAGACCACAGATTACAGGTCCTAGATAAGTAATCTGTCCTTGTAGACTAGTGATTTGTTTACAAATAGGACAGTATCCAAATTTGAAAAGAGTACTGCGAAAGACAGCTTCAAAACAAGTGTTGCAGTTTAAAATTATAAATAATTCTGGAAGCCATTTTGAGACCTGATGCCCTTTACCAAGCTATAGTTCACAGATGCTTACATGTGGTTTTTGTTTAGTGCCAAGGGATGAAATGAATGAATGAAACAATGATGCAAAGGGTGTGGGACATTACATTAACTGGCTTAGTGATAGTGTGAAATGCATTATGTCAAATGATGTAAAAAGAAGACGCTGGGATTTTCAACCCCCCCATTGCCCCAGGACTTGGAAATTAAAATACTGTTGCAAATGATCTCTGCCTAAATATGGCAGAATATTGCCACTGTATTTCAGGAGCATGACGAGAACACCACAGGATTGTATAGCACTCACAGGCTGCAGGTTTGCTATCCTTTCCCCCTAGGCATTCTATAAATATCTAGAGAGAAATTTGAAAAATACAACATGACTCTGGGTGTCTGGAAGACTATTTTTCCCTACATATAAATGATCCTATTTTGACAAATATGCTTTTATTTAATAAATTCATTTATATTAGATATTGTAGGTCTTTTAATTTGGCCCTTTGATCAGCATAAAATCTACATTGCAACTAAATACAGGTAATCCTTGACTTATGACCACAATTGAGCTAAAATTTCTGTTGCTAAATCAGACAGTTAAGTGAGTTTTGCCCCATTTATGACTTTTTTTGCCACAAATGTTAAGTGAATCACTGCAGTTGTTAAGTTAGTAACACGGTTACTAATCTGGCTTCTCCATTAACTTTGCTTGTCAGAAGGTTGCAAAAGGTGATCACATGACCTTAGGACACTGCAACTGTCATAAATATAAGTCAGTTACCAAGCATCTGAATTTGATCACATGACTGTGGGGATGTTGCAACAGTCATGTGAAAAATGGTCATAAGTCACTTTTTTCAGTGCTGCTGTAAATTTGAATGTTCACTAAACAAACTGTTGTAAGCCAAGGACTACCTGTAGTCTTGTAAGCTTTCCTTTAGAGATGAGCATCTTCTAGGACAGTCAAAATTCTGTTATTAAGGCTTCCGGATTGCGGCACGTTCAGCCGTACAAAAAGATCTCTCTCTTTGTCGGCTTTTTTTCCCTCCGCCAGTAAACCCTTATGAGGGTCTTAAATCGCCCTGGAGGGGCGACTACCGTCGAGGAGGCTTTTGCTCGGCTGCGGTGGAGCGGCAGTTCCCCTACAGTACGAACTAACTCCGTAGGCCCAACAGAGAAGATTGGCCAGTAAAATGGCCGATCACTTTGCTGCACCAGCCGAAGTCAGAAAATCATCTAAGCTTAAAGAATCACCATGGTGAATCTGGGTGAGACCTTTCCTCCCTCTCTCTGTCCAGACAATTTGCCTGTAAAAAGTTTTTGATCATTTCCCTGTCTTAATAGAGCAGCTTCTGTCTACTAGGGAAAGAAAGTTTTAAAAGAACTAAAACAGTTAAAGTTTTATTGACTACTTGATTTTTTTTCTCTTTTTTTGGATACCTAGGGGCCCTGAAAAAAAATAAAAAAGAAATGCTATATTTTTTTACTTTATCTATTATACTGGAGATATCTGCTTTTGCTTTTTATGTTTCCCGAAAGAGATAAATTTTTATCTATTTATACAACAAAGATGATTAGGGGACTGGAGGCTAAAGCATATAAGGAACGGCTGCTGGAATTGTTTAGTTTAATGAAGAGAAGGACAAGGGGGGACATGATAGCAGTGTTCCAATATCTCAGGGGGTGCCACAAAGAAGAAGGTGTCAAGCTATTTTCCAAGGCACCTGAAGGCAGGACAAGAAGCAACGGGTGGAAACTAAGCAAGGAGAGAAGCAACCTAGAACTAAGGAGCAACTTCCTGACAGTTAGAACAATTAACCAGTGGAACAACCTGCCTCCAGAAGCGCTGAATACTCCAACACTGGAGGTTTTTAAGAAGAAACTGGACAGCTATTTGTCCGAAATGGTATAGGGTTTCCTGCCTGAGCAGGGGGTTGGACTAGATGACCTCCAAAGTCCCTTCCAATTTTTATTATTATTATTATTTGGAAGAAAGAGTTTACAGTCCACTGAGGACATCTTGTGGCGAAAATTGCCATTACAACTGTATTTTTTTGCTATTTGAAGATGAATTTGACCTTTGGAGGTGGATATTTGTTGACCTTTTTGAAATATAGCCTCCACTAAAAGATTAAAGACTATTGTTGATCAAAGTCTATTTCACCATTGAAATGGAAGAAGCTTATCCACAGCTTGACTATGAACTTATATTGGAAAAGATATTGGAAACTACAAACTATGTGAAAGCTTATATCAAATCTTGGGGAAAAATCAAAGATGATACTAGAGAACCACAAATTGACTTTCAACCATCGGTTCAAACTACAGACCAAAGAATAACGGAGGAAGAACAGAGCAACCCTAGAGAGGTTCCCACTCAGCAAGATATACAATTGAACAAGACAGAGGAACTGCACTTACAATTCAATTATGAACTTACAGTAGAAACTATTGAGCAAATTAATCCTACACAATCCTACTTACGACCTATGGAAAACATTGATGTTCAAAGAATACCATTAACTGAACTATTTGATCTCCCAAAAATAACAGAGCTTGACATTCAGGTACAAGTTATTGAAAATTGGGACAATGTGGACAATCAACTAGCAACTTTAATAAGGAATAAAATTGACTATACTATTCAAACGATATTGGAAGAAAGATGTATTGAGAAATAGCTTTACTCAAATGTTGAGGTTTGATGATGCTGAGGCTTTATCTTGGAAACCGGTTTGGCATAGAAAGAAAGCTAGAGTTAGGTTTAAAAATGTGGTTTAAAATTCCACTGAATGGGTTAAAAAGGTTGTTGACACTTGGATTGTTTTAATAACAAATGAAATAGGTGATTCTGTAAAAGGATATTTTTTGTAACATGGAGGGGTAAATTTTACTTAATTGATTGATAGAATATATATTTAAAATAGACAGAAATGTAGTTCTTTGGACTGATATCTTTATTTTAACCAAGATAGCTATTTTGTAATAGAGGGAGAAAGGAGGTATTTGTGATAAGAGAAATAATAGTATTAATAAATGATGTATTAGTTTAAGCAATAAGCTATATTTAAAAAAATGTAAGGATGTTGCTTTTTGGGATAATATACTTATTTTAGATAGAACCATCATGATAGGGAAAAGAGAAATGAGGGATGCCCGAAGTGTTAATATGTCTATATAAGCTTAATTGGAATATAGTAATTTCTAAAACAGTAAAGCTTAAAAACAGGACTTGGACATAATTGAAATGTGATTGATGACCGATTGGATTGATTGAGCTTTTTTTTATAAATGCAATAATTTTAATTGGTAAAATAATATGTAGGAAATAGAGAGGGAACTTTTAAGGAATTAATTTGTGATATATGTATGATTTTGTTCTTGGATAATTGATAGCCCAATCACCACGTTGTTTCTTAAGCACTTTTATGTAAAAATGAAAAAAAAACAATAAAATTTCTTCATAAAAAAATTATGTTATTAAGAGGTTCTCCTAAATTAAGGTAAGCAACTTATGCTGCCACTGAAATTATGCCATTTTGTTTTTCAAAAATAAGAATAAGAATGGGAATGCAAGGCCTCTGGGAGAAAAATAGCTTCCCTTTTCACCTTAATATCTTCTCATAGACTGGCTTCTATATAGCTGCAAATCAATTCTCATTGCCAACATTTGGCCATTTTGTGAGTTATTTTTTTCCATACGTCATGCCATTGAGGATTGTTAAAGACATAGGAAAAAACTATTTACCTTCCAGGCTTTCTGCTTTTATTTTCATCCTTTAAAAAAATTACCTCAGAATGCAAAAATGGGATTGAAAAACTTGCTTCTGCAATAAGATCACTATAGTCCATGTTCTGTTTTAGAATCAGAGCCATCGAAGCAAGGCAGGAGTAACAAAACACAACTTCTTTATTGAGATCACAAACAGAACAGAACAACAAACAAAATGGCGCTGGCCCCTTTATACTCCCTTTTGCAGGGACAGCATCAGCCTATCAATGCAAGGCTAGTCTCCTACCTTTCACATGCTCGCAAGGCTGGAGACAGCTTGTCTGGTTCCAGGCAACCACATGGTCTGCCTGGGCCTTCTATAACCTCCTGAGCCTGCTAGTCATTCAGCAGGCCCAGGACATAACGCTCCAGAAATCCTTTTTTCAACCACCCTGTCCTAAAGCTGAAACAAACTATTTCCCTACTGTTTAGACCAGACCCTACTGGTTCTAGTTCTGTTTTCTAAAGTAACAAAGATATTAACATAACATAACTTTTCCTTGTCTTTTGCCACAGTTCTTTGTTGTGCTCAGTTGACAAAGTTATTCCCCAAACCATGATTGAGTTCTTATGAGAAAGTTTGGAAAATTCACATTTCAGTTTATAAACAATGTAAGATTATGACTGTTTTTATTCTCCTGCTTTTTAAATAAATAAAAACTGTTTCTTTATTTACAGCAGATTCATCCATTGTCAGTTTTGTCACCTTTCCTAACAGTGCTACAGGCAAGATTTTTCCTTAAAAAAATTGACATAGAGTAGGTTTAGTTTTTATTACTTTTCTTCTGTTACTTTTATTACTTTTCTTCTATTGTATTAACTTTTGTGTTTTTGTATTCTTAGATTTGTCTTCAGTTGGAACTCTGGACACTACAGGTAAGAGTGGGTTGCTTCTAGTTATGTAGAAAACATCTACTTTTAATTTCAGTAGAGATAGATTAAAAACTGTTTGGCTTAAAGCAGTATGGTACCATAGAATACCAAATTAAACAAAATACCAAATCATCCTGTAAACCAGTGGTTCTCAACCTTCCTAATGCCGCAACCCTTTAATACAGTTCCTCATGTTGTGGTGACCCCCAACCCCCCATCCAGCTGGCCGGGGGGGGGTATCAAAAACTTGGCCAAAAAAAAAAAAGGAAAAAATGGGAAAGTATAGGTAGTCCTCGACTTATAACAATTCGCTTAGTGACTGTTAGAAGTTACAACAGAACTGGAAAAGTGAATTAATAATCATTTTTCACACTTATGATTGTTGCAGCATCCCCAGGGTCGTGTGATTTACATTCGGATGCTTGACAACTGATTCATACTTATGACATTCACAGTGTCCTAGAGTCACATGATCAATGGCCGGGGGGCATGGCCAGCTGATCACTCAGGTTGCAGAGTGCCTGTGGGGGGGAATCTGTGGGTCTCTGGGATGGGACTGGGGTGGGTGCCTGCCTTCCTTCCCTCGTCCCTTCCTTCCTTCTTTTCTTCCTTTCCTTCACCTCCCTTAGTCTCTTCCTCCTTCCCTCCCTCTCTCCCATTATCCCTTCCTTCCTTCTTTCCTTCCTTTCCTTCACCTTAGTCTCTTCCTCTTTCCCACCCTCTCCCATTGTCCCTTCCTTCCTTCCTTCTTTCTTTCCTTTCTTTCCCCTCCCTTAGTCTCTTCCTCCTTCTCTCCCTCTCTCCCATTGTCCCTTCCCTCCTTCCTTCTTTCCTTTCCTTCACCTCCTTCTTAGTCTCTTCCTCCTTCCCACCCTCTCCCATTGTCCCTTCCTTCCTTCCCTTCCCCTCCCTTAGTCTCTTCCTCCTTCCCTCCCTCTCTCCCATTGTCCCTTCCTTCCTTCCTTCCTTCCTTCCTTCCTTCCTTCCTTCCTTCCTTCCTTCCTTCCTTCCTTCTTTCCTTCCTTTCCTTTCCTTTCCTTTCCTTTCCATTACCTCCTTCTTAGTCTCTTCCTCCTTCCCACCCTCTCTCCCATTGTCCCTTCCTTCCTTTCCTTCCCCTCCCTTCCTTCCTTCCTTCCTTCCTTCCTTCCTTCCTTCCTTCCTTCCTTCCTTCCTTCCTTCCTCTCCTTCTTAGTCTCTTCCTCCTTCCCACCCTCTCCCATTGTCCCTTCCTTTCCTTCCCCTCCCTTAGTCTCTTCCTCCTTCCCTCCCTCTCTCCCATTGTCCCTTTCTTCCTTCCCTTCACCTCCTTCTTAGTCTCTTCCTCCTTCCCTCCCTCTCTCCCATTGTCCCTTCCTTCCTTCTTTCCTTCCTTTCCTTCCCCTCAGTCTCTTCCTCCTTCCCTCCCTCTCTCCCATTGTCCCTTCTTTCCTTCCTTCCTTCCTTCCTTCCTTCCTTCCTTCCTTCCTTCCTTCCTTCCTTCCTTCCTTCCTTCCTTCCCTTCACCTCCTTCTTAGACTCTTCCTCCTTCCCACCCTCTCACATTATTCCTTCCTTTCTTCCCTCTCTCATTGTTCCTTACTTCCATCCCTCTTTGTTCCTTCCTTCCTCCCCCCCCCCACCCACCACCCCCTGCCCAGGAAGGGACAAGGGGAGCGGGAGAGGCTGCCAGCATGGCTGGGGGTTTTGCTGCCGGCAAACCTGCCTTTGCACAGGCAGAGACAGGAGAGCTCCGCCCAGCTCACTTGCTCAGCTTTGCCAAAAGACGTGCCGCTTGCTAAGCTAGCAGAAGCTCCAGAATCAGCGCCGGGCTACAGCTGATTTGCGCTTCTGCTAAATTAGCCAGTGGCTTGTTTTCTATCAAAGCTTGAGCAAGTTTGCTGGGCAGGAGCCAAGGAGAGCAGCTACAGCTGCAGAAGCGCGGATCAGCTGTAGAGGCTCGCCCCGATCCTGGGCAAGAGGGAAGGAAGGAAGGATGGAAGGGACAAGGGGGAGAGGGAGGGAAGGAAGGACAGAGAGGGAGGCGAAGGAAAGGAAGGAAGAAAGGGACAATGGGAGAGGGAGGGAAGGAGGAAGAGACCAAGAGGGAGGGAAGGAAAGGAAGTTCCAGCCAGGAGAGGCTTGCCAGCCCGGCTGCCGAGAAACAGAAGAGTGCAAACCCAAGGAGAAGAAGGTGGCAGTTTCCTCCCAAAGGAAATTATCAACATGATTTTAATAATCCTCAAAGGGATAGGCTGGTATTTAATTATAATAAAATAGACCCAACTATATACAGTATAATTGACATTGTTTAGGGGATTTAATAGGGGATTCCTGTCTTAAGGAGTAATGGAGATGAAATTAGATTGAATTATTACTGTAAAGCAGCAATTCAGTCAATAAATTTGGGTCTCCTTAAGTGAGAGAAAAAAACAAAGGTATTGTAAAGTAAATGGTACAGTCGTGCAATATTTTGAACAAGAGGTAATAAGAAAATTGCAGTGGAATTTGGAGAAAGAAAATGATATTTCAACACAGAAAATAAAATATAATCACTCTTATTTTTCTTGGAACCAAGCAAAAACAAAGAAAGTCTGAAAGATCTTAATAATTAAATTGCAGATCTTTAAAATGCTAATAGAGGTATTTTCTTCATAAGGCTAAATTTCTGTTTGGCATATTCTTCAGGCAAAACAGCCAAAGCCAAAGGAAAATATGAAATGGTGATAGAACACCTCTATATTAGCTCATTGTGTTTATCAGAACAGCCAATCATCATAATCCAATATAAAGTTGGGATGGTACACCACAATTGTTTGAAGAAGCCACAAGTCTCTTGATAGAATTTTTTTTAATTTGTTATTCTTTCAATATAAAGAACAATAGAAAAAAGGGGAAAATAGAAATATACACTACACCCAAAAAAGGAAACAACAAAAATATATGAATGAAATATTTGAAATAATCTTTCAGCTCAGTAATTAAACCTTAATACACAATGATAAATTAGACTAAATTCAATAGTGCCAGTTCAAAAGCACCAAGTGAACACATAGTTCAAGACTATAAATTTAGAATCATGTTCTCTTTCCAGTATTGAAAAGTAATATTTCTTAACAATGAGTCCCACTTGTTACAGCCATAATCCTTGATACAGTTGTATTCCACATTTTTGTGTATCTAAGGATTGGCCTTCCCATAGAAAATTCCTTAATATCTTATCAATCTGCTTAAATAGCTTAATTTTTACATTTACTATTGTTAATATCAGTATAATAATCATATATTATTAATATATATTATTAATACTATATATAAAATATGTGTGTATATTAATGATATATTAGTATATCATTGTAAGTGAAAATCAATATTGTATGACAAAAAGTATAATTTTATATAATTCTAGAACTGTACAGTATAATTTATTAAACATTATCTCATTTCATTTTTCCTTAGAAACAACAAATATAATGGAACTTGACTTTTCAAAAATAGATGGTATGTATATTATTATTATTATGATACATAACATTGTGAATTCACTGCTGCCAATTCTGTAGCTGGTATTGATTTTCATTCACATTAAATTTTTCCCAAGAACTTAGGATGCTCTAAAATATATCACTAGTCTATGTGTGGATCGAAGCAGTGTGGCCTTTTGTAATTGACAAATGAAAATTTTGCCAGTGAACGTATTTCCTAACTAACTGCCATTCAAGGCTTTTTGCTATGGACCATGGTATTACCACATCAACTATCCATACTTTATTCTTTTCAACTACAGTTGAATCTGGTATATTATATGCCAAAGTACCCATCTTCCTTAATACATTAACAATTGTCAATAAGAAAGCGAAAAAGTTTTGATAGTGGATATTGCAATACCTGAAGATAGGAAAAGAAAAAGAAAAAGCAATTTAATTACATTTAGTTTACACCAACACCATTCACTATATCCTTCCATTTCTTTTTATCCTTTCAAACCATCTTTATATCAGGAACCCTTGATTAGGACTCCACAATAAATCACAATAAATCCTAACACTTCACAGTTTAGCTTAATTTCTTGGATTGACTAAGAGTAGACTGGCAGACACAGCTCAGTAAATTCAAAATCTTTATTGCACTATAGATTAAAATAATTTAAGTGCAGTTGTAGGTGTACTGTACTCAAGTATTGATAGCCCACACAACATGGATTTAAACACCAAATTTTCTTCCACCTGCCTTTCCAAATTAAAAGATAATTGGCATAGCACTTTGCAACCATGAAGCTGAACAATTATTGAATGTTTAAACGATGCCTTGGAAAAGCCGGTTTCCACTTGCCAGTCTCCACTCTTATCACTTTATTCTTTTTTTTTTTGGCCTCTCCCTCCTCTTCTGAATCTAGTAAATTCCATAATAATCAAAGGATTAACAGGATAACAGAATAATAGAGTTGGAAGGGACCTTGGAGACCTTCTAGTCCAACCCCCTGCTCAAGCTGGAAACCCTATACCATTTCAGACAAATGGTTGTCCAATCTCTTCTTAAAAACTTCCAGTGATGGATCATCCACAACTTCTGGAGGCGAGCCATTCCACTGATTAATTGTTCTAACTGTCAGGAATGTTCTCCTTAGTTGTAGGCTGCTTCTCTTCTTGATTAGTTTCTATCCATGGCATCTTGTTCTGCCTTCAGATGCTTTGGAGAATAGGTTGACCCCCTCTTTTTTGTCATAAACCTTTAGATATTGGAACACTTGCTATTATGTCATCACTAGAAGGAAGGAAGGAAGGAAGGAAGGAAGGAAGGAAGGAAGGAAGGAAGGAAGGAAGGAAGGAAGGAAGGAAGGAAGGAAGGAAGGAACAAATGAAATTGTGAGTCCCCATGTACAAAAGATATACCGTATATGCCGGCGTACAAGGCGACCCAGCGTATAAGACGACCCCCGTCTTTATCGCCGAGCCGCATTCCTAGAACGTCATCTTATACACCAGAAACTACCAGTATTTCCGGCGTATAAGACGACTCGGCGTATAAGACGACCCCCGTCTTTGGCGCCGATTTCAGCGCTCGCGGAAGTCGCCTTATACGCCGGCATTTACGGGTAGTTAAGACAGTCTTGGGCTAGGTCACCAATGGACTTTAGAAAACTTGTTGAATTAACAGATGATTATCTCAGGGCAGAGGCAATGCCACAACAGGAAATTAGGTAAACCATCTTAAAAAGCATATCATTTACAAACAGAGAGGCATTTAAATCTTTGACACAGGATAGTTCAATGTTTGAAAATCCTGCTTAGAAAAAAGAAGAGGTAAAGCATTACTTTAGGTTGCTTGCTCATTGCATGGCAACAAGGATGGCATAACAAATAAAATTCATGACATCTGCTATAAAGGAAATCTACCAAAAGTCAGGAGGAAATAAAATTGATAAATACTCCAAATGCTCAAGTTGGTTGCTTCTCATGACGGAGGAATCATTTTCTTATATACAATTTTCCTCATTTACAATCAATTTCATTTCATCATTCCACCAAGCATCATTTTTATACTTCCCTTTAATGTGCTTTGGGCTAAACAAATAAATTTCCTTGCTATACTTTGTTTAATACAAATATACTTTACATTAATATATTTCTGTGGGCTTTTTATAAAAGAATTATTTTCTTTTTTTCCCAAGGAACTTCCAATTAATCTTTCCTTAATTTAATTTTTTTTTCTGTTGAAGGATTCTTCTGTCTTCTAATACTTTTATATATGGACTTTCTCTTTCTGTAATGATTCCATATATCATTCTACTTTTACTTCATGTCCATTTTCTTCCCAGATCCTCTCTTCATGTTATCAAATAAAAGTCTGTTCTGTTGCAGCCTTTATTAAATCCTTTGATCTTTCATCATAAACAGTTAAATCAGCCATGAATTAAATCAGATTAATTCCTTTGCATATGAATGCATCAATAGATAGGCTGAAATCTTGTTCAAAGCAAACATCTACAAAAGCAAGACCAATATTCAGTTCTATTTCATTTATCCTCCATCTCTTAGTGTCAGAAAAATATTCTGCCTGTCTGTCTAAATTTTATTTCATTTTTATCTCATGTCATTAATTCATTAGGTTTACCATATGTTCATGTTACAATCTAAATTGCAATCATTCATCTGATGTTAACAGATGGGCCAATAAATATTGATTTCCTATGCCTATAAGAACTTCTGCTAACTGAAGCTAATGTTTAAAAAAATCAGATACTGTAGTTATTAGTTTCAGTTATCCTATGCTACATGAAGCATTCCCTGCTAAAACTCCATTTTAACACATTTTGTCCAAAATTTACAAGTGTTAACTAAAGCCCAGTTTTATCCCCAGCATTCTTATGTTGTTTTGTATAAATAAGAATCTTTAATCTAAAGACAACTTTGTAAGCCAAGATACCATGATTTTCCCTGTTGCTCTTATTTTTTTGTAAGCAATTCCATTCTTTTGCGTTTGGAATTCATGTATTTAGCTGGATTTATAATATTGGACCTAGCTCATTTTAAAAAGTGACACATGCAATACTCATATTTTGGTTCCATGCTAGGAGCTATTTTAAGTTAGGAAAAGTGTACCGATTATATAAAAATGCAAATTCCTTTTTTTACTCATGTTTTGTAGGAGCAAACATTTTATATAAGAAAGTGTGTAAGTTATCAGATATCTGTAAAGACTCAGGTTAGTATTCTTAATTTTTTTACTTGATATCAAATATGTTTAATAGACTATTGTGTTGTTTGGCTTCACTTCTGTTTTAGATTTAAAGGTCCTTGCCTTGCTTTCCTGCACAGAGAATGTAGAAAGGAGGATATGTGATCATGCAAGCTGGTTCTTATAATATCAGATTATAGTTTGTCATATAACGAAATGAGGACAAACACTATATAGAAGTATTTATCCTCAAACTTTCTTTCTATGCGAAGGACAGAATATCAGTGTATAATCACATAAGGAAGCTAAAGAATAAAAGAGAAAATATATTCTTTCTTATTTTACTAAAATATATGCTTTAATTTCTAAACCAAAATTATTCCTAATGCAAAAGTTTTTTCTCTCTCTTCTTTTTCAGTTTTCTACATGGGCAGTACAAAATTTCAAATTCGTGAAAACAATTCAGATACTTCATATAACCTAACAGTAGTAAGAGTCCTTATTATTGTTGTTATTTTGTGACCAAACTTCAGTTTCCTATTTATTTATTTATTTATTTATTTATGAGACTTATATACCGCTTTAAGGGCAAGCACTCTCTAAGCGGTGTACACCAGTAAGCAATGTATATATATATATATTTACATTGCCCCCAACAATCTGGGTCCTCATTTTACCTACCCCGGAAGGATGAAAGGCTGAGTCAACCTTGAGCCGGTGAGATTTGAACCGCTGACCGGCTGAACACAGTCAGCTAAAGTGGCCTGCAGTACTGCACTCTAACTGCTGCGCCACCTCGGCTCTTTTTATTGGGGTTATTAACCATTGTCACAATCCTAATGTTGCATAATTAAAAGAGTTACAGTTGACATTAACTGTCTAGACATAAAGTAAGTGGTAAATAGTACTGAAAATAAATTTGCCTCTGCTTGGTCCCCTGGAATGGAATAATTGCTTTGTATTATAATTTACTCATTCTGTAATTAAAATTTTGTTAGGTTTCATTCACAATACATTCTTTGCTATGAATAATAATTAATAATCTGTGCCCTATCAGGCCATATTATGCTGCTATGCCCATTATATTCTCTAGATGCAGACAATATATAAAAGTATAATGTATTTATGAGTTCCATATTGTTTTTAGAAATATCCTGGCAATAACACTAATCTGTACCAGTTAAAAGTTTATTCAACCCAACCAGAAATCAAGTGAGTACTTTAAAAATATAGATCTTTCTTCCTTGCCAGTGTTGCATGCAAGTCATCTTTAAAATACTTTTGTGTTTTAATACATTTGGAAGAAAAAAAAACTTTTAAATTTATCACTTCTGGTTTACTACAATCTATTTACATACTGCCAAATTAATTTCATGCCTCTTCATCACAAGTCCTTTGCAGATATAAGATTATCCACGTATACCAGTTTACTTTCAGTGAAATCAGCAGTGCTAATATGCAATGTTCAGTATAGATATTCACCATACTTTTATATGTATTTGATTGGTGTGTTGGTGTTGGTTTTCTGCCTGGCTATGTCATTTTTCACTGAATGGTCCTTTTCTAATTTGTTTTGGAACTACTATGCAATGGCTACATATATAGTTACATAGTTATCTTTTAAAAAACTACTTGGTATCCTAACCTTTTCTTGAATCATGGAAGAATGTTACTTTTCCTAAATTTTGGCTATTTTCTCCTGTTCCTTATTGTTCAGTAAACAATTGAAATAATAAATGAGGGCACAGTACTTCCTAAAATAATTACTTTTTAAAACCTTATCTTAATCTTAAACAATGATATAGAATCCTTGACTTCAAGTAAAGATATTTTACCTTTTCTTATAACTTTGTAATTAGCAATAAAAAAATAAACAGTTTAGTGGAATTCACATTGAAACTAGCACACTTGCCTGGTTTAGGGATGGAGCAATGTAAGAGATCTCAAGTAATACTTAAGGAAAAATTTCTTCTACTCTCATCAACAAAAGTTGGGGCTATTTGTTATATAGCAGGGGTCCTCAACCTATGGTCCACGGCCTGGGACTGAGCCGCAGGCTCTTGGCCAGTGGGCTGTGGAAATGGCTGACTGGTGCCTACATGCTTGGGTGCGCATTCCCTCCATTTGTGCTAGCGCCCGCATCCCCATTTGCGCATACACATAGGCATAAACAGGGATGCTAGTGTGGGGCGGATGTCCACAGCCCATTTGTGCATGCACCGCTAGCCCGGGTGGTTTGCGTGGCCCATTTGTGCATGTGTGAACAGGCTGCTAGCTGCTGTGGGAGGTGTGCGGCTGTTCGCACATGCACACGTGCCAGCACATGCCTCATGCGCAAACAGAGCTACTAGTGCCACGCCAGTGTGCATGGCCCCATGCGTGCACACACACACCAATTTTGAAGCTGTTCTCCTTCCCTCCAGTCTGCGAGCCCGGAAAGGTTGGAGTATCCACAATAGAAATTAGATGCTTTAGTTTTGATTACTAAATAGGCAAATATCCCCACTCATAAGTGAAAAATGGATAGTTAAATTACTATTTATATTGCATATTTGTTTTTTCTAGTGATCCCCTTTGTCGATAATCACAAGATCCCTTTTCAAATCAGGAGGGACAGTAATTTAAAATCTCCCTGACAGATAATTCCAGTAAGGTACCACTGCTTAGACTAAACCTCCTGTTGCCTCTTAGCCTCTCCAGCTTTTCTACACAGATTTCTGCCTTTAGCCCAGCATTAGGCATATTAGGCAGAAAGATCTCTGGATTTAATTGCCTCTAGCACAGAATTATAGAACTCAATAAATGCTTCATCAACCCTGAAGCACATATTTTACTGTAATAAGAAATTCCCATATTAAACAAGCCAAATTTCTACATTTAAAATGGAATTAACTGGAAAGGTGAAATATAGCATAAAATGAAGGAAGACAATAACTACAAACAGAATCTGCCAAATAAATGTGTACTAAAGTAATGAAAGTAGCTACATTATTTCCTTATATGGGTTTTTGAGTTTCAGCAAGGTTCAGAGTTCATTATAATTGGAAATGAGATTATCTTTGTCTCCAGATTTTGGATATTTAGAACCTGATTGTTCCTCTTATCAGCATCTCCTCCATTTCTCTTCTTTCTGAATCCTATCTTTCACTTTGTAGAAAATGGAGATAAACTCACTGGGAAAATTGTTGGATAGAATAGAATAGGATAAGATAAGATAAGATAAGATAACCTTTATTGTCATTTTTTTTACTGTGGGCACAATAGTACACATCAAAAATGAAATTTAGTTGCCCGCTCTCAAAGTGAAACACATATATGACACACACCTAAACATACTATGTACAACATATGTATAGACCCACACCCCTACATATATATAACAAATAAATATTAAATACTGTCCATCTTGAATATATAACGGAAGAAGGCAGCTTGAGAGTTCACAAGGTTAATGCTGTATTGAATGAAACTATGGCTGAATCTGGATGTTCAGGTATTTTTGGTAATTTAGCTTTTTCCATATATCGCGTTATTTTTTCCTTAGAGATTTCTTCTATATCATATAATTTTTCATAAAATTCTTTATTTTTTATTGTTTCATTTTGAAATTGTAGACATCCTTTCCCATCTTGTAGTTTATTTATCAATTTCTTCTCCTTTTCTTTTTTCAATTTATAAGCTATCCATCTACCCAGTTTATTAGCATTTTCAAAGAAGTTTTGTTTTGCCTTTTTAATTTGTTGGGCCATTTCTTCAGCTTCTATTAAGTTTAGTTTGTGTTTTATTATCTCCATTTGCTTTTTACAAGTTTTCTTTTGTGGGTCTATTTGTAATTCTAGTTCCAGTTTTTTAAGGTCTTCCTTTAACTTTGTTTGTTGTTGTTTTTCCTTATTCTTTTTTGCCATATACATTATGGCTAAATCTCTAAAGTATGCTTTGGCTGTGACCCAAACGTTTTGTCTCTTCTTTCTTGTTTTCTTTAAAAAAAATTCCATTTCCTTTACTGCTATTTGTGTAAATTCTTTCTCTTTTAATAAAGCTTGATTCAACAACCATCTGAGCTTTTTCTTTGTTCCTCTCCAGGTCATCTTTATCAGATTATGGTCTGCCCATATATTGGTTTCTATCTCAGTCTCATGTATATTCATTTTTAGTTCAGAGGATAGCCATATCATGCCAATTCTAGACCATGATTTGTGCCTATTCAAAAAAAATGTATTCTGAGATTTTGGGGGATTTTTTTTTTCTGTCCACATATCCTGTATACAAATTTCTTCTGCCATTTTGAAAAAGGCCTTAGGTGTTATATTTCTTCCTTTTTTCCCTATTTTACTGCTTTTATAGTCTAGTTTTCTGTCTGTATTTCATTGAAATCTCCTAACAAACAAATGTTTTGATATTCTGTTTCCACTATTTTCTTATGTAGTTTTTGGTAAAATTCTTCTTGTTTGTTGTTTGGTGCATATATTGCTATCATCACTATCTGTTTATGATTTATCATTATTTCCACCATTAATATTCTTCCTTCTTCATCTGCATAGACTTGTTTGGAGTCCACTGTCTCTTTAATATATAAAACTACTCTTTTCTTTTGTTGTGCTGATGAGAAGTAAAGTTTCCCAATTTTGGGGCATTCCAAAAGTTTATAGTGTTGTCTTTTTATACGTGTTTCTTGAAGGCAGACTATATCCATTTTTAATTTTTGTAGTCGTATGAAAAAAAATTTCCTTTTTGATGGGGAATTCAATCCATTTGAATTCAATCCATTGAGAGGATCCTGTTTTCCTTCTCCATTTTCTTTAATTATATTTAGGTTTTATTTTCCTAGTTGTTCTTGTCTGTCTTTGTTCTCTTGCCTTTGCCCCTTCTTCTTGATCTATATTTTCTATTTCTTCTTCTTCTCTTAGTGCAGCTACCTCTTCTGGTGCAACCTCTCCCTGCTTTCTACATTCCTTGTCTGAAATTCTGAACATTTTTCTTCAAAGAAAGGTCTGTATCTCTCATAGAATTCCATAGTCTGTATCTCTTAGAATCCCAGTTGATTAGAATCCCTTCCGGGAGCAGCCATCTAAAGTTCACTCCTTTTTCTGGACTTCCGATTTTGCGCGGTAGCGACTGGTCGCAGGGTTGCAGATTCTCTGCACCCCTGTGGCTAATTTCGCCCTGCCTGGGGACCCTAAATGGTCTAAGTCACCCCGGAAAGGCAATGAAGAAAAAAGGGTGCTCCAGCGATTCTGGAATAGCGGCGGCCATTCCGTTCGACTTGGGGAAAGCCTTCTAACCCGACAGGAGAAAATCTGGCCATATTGCATTGACCAGCCCAAGCTACTAGCAACCGAAGGCCAAAAACACTAACCAGCACAACTGTGAACAGCGTGTTTGAAACTGGGTGAGAAATTCGATCTTCTCTTTTCTATTCTATATTTAATTTCATGGAAAAGATCCCCAAGAAGCAAAATACCTCCAAAAGGGAAGGAGGGGGATTTCCGCCTCACCTTTATACTAACGGAAGCAGCGAATTAATCTTTTTATGAAGGATCAAAATATATAGAAGTGAAATAAATATAAAATCTGAAATTTAAAACTTAAATCTGGATAAATCTAAAATTGTTTGAATGGTTAAGATTCTCATTTTAATGATAATTGTTCATTTTGGAAATTGAAAAACAAATAGTTGCTGACACCTAGTAGTGGATGAAGACTATGACAGCTATGACTTTAATATAAAACTTGGCAACACCTGGGATAAAGCTAATCTGTGTTTGTGATCTTCAAAGTTTTAACAACAAAGAACAGCTGTGACAAAAAAAGACAATCTGGGATGTAGACAAAGAGAGAATTATAAATTTCAGAAAAAAAATCTTTTTTGAACTATTTGGATTTCAAATATCTATTTAGTTGGAACTCTCAAGCTATTTGCAGAGAAAAGAAAGGAAGAGCAAAACTCAAATTCTTGGCCATCATGGATCAGAGACATGTAGAAAGAACGTATCAAGAAAACATAAATACTTCACAGGAGGAGATATATAGTATACTGCAACTAATTCAAACAACAATGACTTTAAACCACAAAGAAATCCAAAATAACTTTGAAAATATAAATCAATCTATTTCTAAATTAACTTTACAACAAAAAATTCCCAGAAAACAACAACAGAGAAGAAGCAGATAAAACAGATAAATGGATATAGAATTGAGAATAGAGACTTAAAGATGGAACTTAACAAAACAAGGAAACATGATTTAATCCTAGTGGGGGAAAATTCACAAAATTGGAAAAAATAACTTATCCCTTAAGACTACAAAATAAATCTGAGGACAAGAAAACAGATTGGATAAAATGGACTGTAGAGATGTCAGGAACATTGGAGAGAAAGGGAAAAAAAGTTTTTCAACAAACATGGAAAGGCAGAAGCCCCGTACAAAGACGCTTCACCTGATTTACTTATTATATCTACAATAACATTTACGAACATACGGAAAAATCTTTTGATTCAGCAAAATACATTGATTAAGAAAGATACTGGGCAAAGGCAAAAGACTAAAGTGGAAACCAAGAAAATAGATGATGGGACTTACCAAAGAGAATACTTAAAAAAGAAACATTTGTTTGAATATGGTTAAAGAAATAGAAAAGTTTTGGAATATATATGTCATTCTGAGAGGGATGAATTCCTTAAATAATATAGTATACTTTTTTCCCCTTTTTGTTCTCTTTCTCGATATGAATAATATAAAAAAGTTGAAATGACTTAGATAAAGGAAATGTTTTAGATACTTAAATGTGATTGAATTTAAGAAAATTATAATGAATAAAATGTTTTGAATAAGAGTTAAAGGACTAGATGACTAGATGTATTAAATGGAGTATTTAAAGATTAAGCATATTTTTAATTATGTTAAAAATAATTAAAAAAATAGGAAATAAATATATATTAGCTTAGGAGGGATATATATTTCAAGTAGTATGTTATTTTTTATGTTTCTTAATTCTTGCTCTCCTTTCTTCTTCTTTTTTCATTATTTTATCTATTCCTTAAGAAATGTAAAAGTGTGAGATGGTTCATATGGAAAAATAGAGTTAAATTTTTAAATGTAATTAATTTTTGAGAAAATCTTAATCAGTAAGAATATCTAGAATTTGGTGGGAGAAACAAACTAAAATAAGGACTGTAATAAGATCTATGATAAGGCAACCAGAATGATTGCATAGAAAAGAAATATTATATTGATGTGATTATTATTTTTAGGAATATTGGGAATATATTGTTATCTATCAAAACAATGAGAATTGTATTAATTCAATGTTTGCAAAAGAGCATATTTTGGGAAAAGAGGAAATCAACTAAAACCATTATGTGGATTATGGATTATAGAAATCAATTGTTAATGATTGTTTTACAGATGTAACCCAGACAACACACTGTTCACTAATTATTAAGTGATTTATGTTTTTCTAAAAAATCAATAAAATATATTACAAAAAAAAGTTCACTCCTTTTTCAATTAATTTTTTTGGTCAAAAATTGATATTCTTTTTGTGAATCTCTTATCCTTCTAGGAACCTGTTTCAAGACTACAATTTTCTTTTCTTTATACTGCAATGGATCCTCTCTCACTCTTCTCAGTATCTCGTCTCTTGTTGATTTTTTCACGAATATAACATGTACCTCTCTGGGAAGTCTGTGTCTTCTTGCATAACTTGAATTGACTCTAAATGTTTGATCTATCTCTCCTTTCATTTCCTGTTTCCCAATTTTCAAAGCATCTGCTAGCAGCTCTATCATCAGGTCTTATTTGTCTTCCACTATATTCTGAAATCTTAAGAAATAAGATGCCATGTCCATTTCTAGAATTGTCACTGAATCCTCCAAATCTTTATTAACCTGTATCATCCTTTGGTTTTCTTCTTTTATTTCTTCCATCTTTTGGTCAGTTTCCTCTGATTTGTCTTCTACTTTCTGAATTCTTTGTTCATTTTTTATGATCATTTGTTGAAAATTTTCTAATTGTGAGTTTAAATTGTGAATTTTTTCATTTATTTTATTAAAGTTGTCTTTTGTCTCATCATGATTTTTTCTTGTGTCTTCTTTATGTGAAGTTATCACCTCTTGTATTAATTGTAATGTGGTCTGCATTTCTTTCTGAAAATTGTTAGTTTTTTTCTTGCTGGAGCATTGTGTCAATTGATCTCTGGTAAACCAGGCTGGGGGCACCAGAAGACAGTGCTGAGGCGGGTTTCTTGCCTGTTTTAGTCAAGCTTGGAACACTAATTTTTGCTCCTCCCTCAAACTTTTCTATCATTGTTGTCAGTTTTATAGAAAACAAGCAATCTTATAAATAATATCACAATACAATATTTAAACTCCCATTTGTATTTTAAATTGTCCCAAATAGTTCGTGTAGTTCTATAGCAGTGGTTCTCAACCTGTGGGTCGGGACCCCATTTGGGGTTGAACGACCATTTCACGGGGGTCGCCAAACAAGGCTGTCCGCCATTTTTTCCCCCTTTTCTTAGCCACGCCCCTGGCACCCAGTGATGTATAAGTGGTTGGGGGTCACCACAACATGGGGAACTGTATTATGGGGTCGGGCATTAGAAAGATTGAGAACCACTGTTCTATAGCCTTTGTAATCCAATAGTCCAATTTATAGATCCACCACCAAAGAAAGGAGAAAAAAATAGTGAGAGAAAAGATATTTGTAATCCACCAGTGTCTCAGCATCAAGTCCAACAGGAAAAAAACCAAAAGCCACAGTCTACAACGACTCTTCAGTTCAAACTCCCCCCTCCCAAATTTCAGTCAACCAGGCTTTATAATCCAAAGTATCCAGCTGTTCCAGTTAGTAATCCATAGGACCTCCCCAAAAGAAACTAGCCAAGAAATCAATTTTCTTTCTGTCTCTAGGTAGTTCTTAAAGCTGTGAGTCAATTAATGTTTATAATCCAGGCAGGTTTGTTTCAAAGTAATTTATAGTTTCCACCATGCAGAAAAACAACCCAAAAAGTTTTTTCCCTTTTTCCAGCTACAGTCTACAAAGGTGAAAGTTTCCAGGAACATCAAAGAGTCTAGTTTGTTATCTATATCTGGGCTTCAAACCAAGTTCACTCCAGTCATAACAAAATTCAGCTTTTTTTCTTTATTCTACCTCTGACCACTAGATGTCATTAGCTGTCCATTTTTTACCTTTAAGCCCAAGTTATTTCATAAAGTTCACTGTTATTTTCCAAAGAGAAAGAAAGAAAAAAAAACTCAAAGAGTTCTCTCAAACCCCAAATTTATCAAGACTATGTCTCTGTATTATTTCCAAGTTAAAGTTGCAGTCTTCTCTGTTTTTTTCCCCCCAATAGAAATTAAATTGCTGCTTCCTTTCTCATAAGGGACAGTGGCCCCTCATTCATCTGGGGAGCTTTTTTTGCTTTTGGGAAATCATTTTCCAGAGAAAAGGTTTTGAAGTTGTAGAGAAAAGGTAATGTTGTCACCCAGTTCCAGCCACGATGTTCAGATTTGCTAATTAGTGCTTTTCTCAGTTGTCAGTAGCTTCTAACTGGCCGCATAAATACAGGCAGTCTTTCCCCTGCTAGTTAGGAGAGCTTCCTTGAATCAAAAGGATTGACTGCTGTCTCTCCGTGATCAACAAGGATCCCCCCCCTTCTTTGTTGCCTCTCCAGAGCGACTTTAGACCCTTTCAGGTCCCCAGCAGAGTGAAATCGGCCGCGGTAAGCAGAGCCCCGCCATCCTGCACCCATCTCGCTATGATGCCAAACCGGAAGTCTGAAACATGCATTTTTTTTTTAATTTTAGGACTCATATATCTTGCAGACTGTATTGACATGCAGATGGGGGAGTGGAAGAGTGTGGCTAAAGCTAATAGGGAAAGTCTGGAGTGAAAAGACTATAAATTGCAATAAATAGGAAAGGTACTTCTTTGAGAAATCTTATGTGGCGCTAGTGGCACAGGATTTTGCTGTTATGTTATAGAAGTATATTTGTCCTAATTATTATAAATATTGATAAAACTTAAATTAATTTTTGTAGGTTGCTTTCTTACAATATACATACGCAATTATGCTAGTTGGAATTATCATTCTGCAAGTGGTACTTCAGTTGCCCATTATTTTTTCCCCAGTCCTTGTATAGTTCCTGGCTATGGAGAATGGGGAGATTCCTAGGATTGGATGAGATGTGGGGATGGTAAGACTGCATGTTCAGAGAAATTTGTGGAACTTAATTGGCTTCCACCTGTTTCCTAGTGAAAATGAAATCTGGAACTTTTGATTAAGCAAATAAAAATGTCTTTTAGTATTTCAGATTTCAATAAAACACTTCAACGGCTAAGTCAGGTAAGTAATTTATAACATAATACTATAATTAAATATGTAAATGTCTTTTTTATTACAAGTAGTCCTCAACTTACAACCACAATTGAGCCCAAAACTTCTGTTGCTAAGCGAGTCTGTTGTTAATTTTGCCCCATTTTATGACCTTTCTTGCCACAGTTAAGTGAATCACTGCAGTTGTTAAGTTAGTAACATGGTTAAGTGAATCAAGCTTCCCCATTGACTTTGCTTGTCAGAAGGTCACTAAAGGTGATCACATGATCCCGGGACACTGCAACTATCGTGAGTCAGTTGCCAAGTATTTGATCATGTGACCAAGGGATGCTACAACAGTCATAAGTGTGAAAAACGGCCATAAGTCACTTTCTTCAGTGATGTTGTTACTTTGAATGGTCCCTAAATGAAGTGTTGTAAGTTGAGGACTACCTGTATAGAATGCCTATATCAGTGGGACCAAATAATTTATTTTCATTGTATCTTGTTCTCTTGTAGTCGTCTCTCATTCAGTGTAATGACTTAAACCAGAGGTTTGTATTATAACATTTCTCAAATATTATTGCATTATATTTGTATTAAAAATACTGGAAGTTTTAATCAGAAGATGTTATAATAAAATAATCCTAAGCTTTTTTCCTTGTCTTTGCAGTATAGTCAGCTGTATTTTTATAATAAAATTGGAGAAAGGAATGAATATAAGCAACATAGTATCAGAGTTAGAAGAAAAAGCAGAACTAAATCTAATTGGTAAGAAAATTATGAATAGTTTTGTTCTAGACCTACTTGGTAACAGTGGTGCTTGTTTTATCTGTCCCAGTCTTTGAAACTAAGATGATGAAAAAGCTATCAAAAGTCTTCCAAAACAGGATTTTTATTTCAATATTGCATATTCTATTACATAATTTTTGAGTTCTTTTAGTTATGAATATCATTTAAAATATACTTGTAGTGCTGTTTAGTAGTTTTGTATAAATTGTTGAGCAAAGCACAGCACCTGCGGGCAAAGTCATCCAGTTGTTTGAAAGAGTTTTGGAGCAGCTGGGTCAAGCCTTCAAATGACTGTAATCTTTATGCCTACAAAGAGTGGATCCAAAGAGGTGCTTTGTTTGTTTAATTATTTGCACAGGTCTACTCTTTAGACAGAAATTTGCTTTATTCAGACATGACACCAATTGAAATATTCCCTCTTTGAACTTCCCTGCTTTCCTGGTAACAGAGATATAACCCCATTGCCCATTGACACCATTTGAATGATGTCATATTCTGAAGACTCCAGCTGGTTCAGTACAGATGACAGCAGGATAAAAGTCTTTGTGTGTACTGCAATACACATAAGGTATAAGAACCCTGAGTGAAGTGGAAGACAGCCCATTAACTGCTGAGGCTTTTCTCTTGCAAACCTGCCCATTAAACATGTGGGTTGGATCTTACATGATGGCAACATCATTTGATTCATCTGTGAAGGCTAACTTTATTATGAGTACTGATGTAATAGTGGACATAGTAAATAACAGTGATGCTAATTGCATACTGCAGATTTCACAAGCTAATGCAAAGTGAAGGCTAATCTTATCAGTAGTTGTTATTAGATATTATAGCTATCTAGTTCTAAACAACAAATTTCAACTGTGAAGTTCCATGATATGTTGATTGCATAATGATTCTATGTAAGACTAATACTTTATAGGACAAATAGAAGTTAGTCCATCAAAGCATTTAATAGCCTTCACAATATACTAATTAATACTAATATGTATGTGCATATAATTCTTTGTTGTTTACAGAATCATGCTGCTGTTCCATGCAGCCTTTTTCTTGTCCAAATGCCCAAGAGTTGCAACGTCTTCAGTGGTAAGTGTAACCTGCTTTATTTAGAAAGTTTGGAGTTTACTTGTCGTGCTCATTATTTGGTGCACCATAATTCTCAGCACTGAGAGGGGGAAAAATAGAAAAAGTAACATACTTTATAGTCTTATAAACTGATGATGGGACAAAGGTGAGGTAATTTCTTATCCAGTAGACAGTCCGATGTAACTGCTATTCTAAGATAAAATTAAGTCTTTAATAGTTGATTGTATAGTAAGCATAATTTTTAAAATACATCTAAGAAGAATTAGTATGATGACAGAATATTTTTCAAGTCTTACTACCAATAGAATACATATACTGTAGCTCATGATTGAACTGTGGAGAGCTTGGTGCTTCTCTGAGCTTTGTTATTTGAATACAGATGTTTCATTACTGAACTAGGTAACATTTTCAGTGCTAGAAAGGAATGAGGTTTGCTCTCTGTTTTAAAGTGGCTTACTTATTAAAGGGGATATTGTTTTCTCCTTGGTAGTTTCTTGTTTAGGCTGTTGCTTACTGCTTACTTGATTGTCTGAGTTGGTAGTTCTTTGATTAGGGTATTGTTTATTGTTTGTCTGGGGTTTATTCCTGCTTATCTGCGTATTGATTGTGCAGTGAGGAAATGTTTTAGTCTTTTTGTTTCCTGTACATGCTACTCAAAAGAGACAATAGAAAAGCTAAAATCTTTAGTATATATTTTTACCGAACCCCTTGACATGAGAATTGATGATTAAATATAGTAAAGAATGCTATTGAAGGCATGCAAAAATAGACTTTTAGGTTATTTTAATGATAAACATATTTTATTAATTTTAGAAGGCTGTCCAACTCCATAACACTGTGCAGCATTCATTAAAAATAGTAAAAATAATAAAAGCATAAAACAGCAAATAGTATAATAATCAAATTCTTTGAAGAGATGGGGCAGACAAAGATTTGGATTTTTCTTTATCGTTTTAAAAGTATAAGCTGCAACTAAATCGATGCCAATATTCTGTTTTTTTTATAGTGATATTCATGAACCAATTGCCTGTAATGGTCATAGTACTCCTGATTCTCCAGTTTCACCTGCAGGTCCTTCCTCTTTTACAATGCAGCATGAAGCCTTTTCCTCTGAATCATCCTCTGAATCAGCAACTGTTTTGACACCCCCTTTCACTGAGCTTACAACAATAAATATTTCTAATATATATGTTACTCATAATTCTTTCACTGAGCAAACTACAGTGCTTTCTTCTGAATTTCCTACAAAGTCAACCAATATAATTGTTCCTTCAACCTTGGTTGAAACAATTAATTCAGATTTTACAACACATTCTGCTCAGGATATTACTACTTTTCCTGAAATATATCCCACAATATCTACCATATCTAATGCTCAGCATACAACCTCAGTTTCTTCGGCCATCATGTCCATGTCTTCTTCCATGATCTACACTAATGATATTGGAGGACCAAGTAAAAAAAGCACAGGTAACCGATTTAAATGGATCTTCTATCGTGACTCTGATATATGCATGAAGTTTGATTAGTATGTGGAAGTACTAGGGATGTGCATACTTCAGAAATGAAAGTGCTTTTGATTTCATACAACCACAGTTCTCTGCTAATTAGAAAAACAGACCGAATTTTTTTCAAGCTTCCTGAAAAACTTTAGATAGTGGCACCTTTTTTTAGGCTCATGTCAAGTTGTTTTAATGAAAGCAGGAAATACTCTGCTTCTGTAAGGTCAGAAACACTTTTTGAAGAATGGGCATGATATGCAGACTACTCCCACATAAATATCTATAATCAACACTTACCATAATTGATGGCAACATTTGCTTGATTAAATTTTTGATCTCTGTTTTCTGATGAATTTCCTAATTTTATTTCTATCAAGAAAGAAATGGGGCAGCATTGCCCAAGCGTATGGTCATTAGCTATATCTTCACTTTAAATAAAGCATCAATTGCTGATTTCAGCAGGAAAAGCAGTTCACTGAACCATCCTCATTTCTGCTTGAGGAAGCTTCCAAATCAAAATGGATGTATAAGGACCCACCCCAGCTAACCACCCAAGAAAACAGAACTCTTGAAACAGGCATTGTCTCAAAAGGAAACTGGCACAGTTGGCACGCATCTCAAGGTCTTCTCCAGTTTTGCTTCTTTGTAACCGCCTGATAAGGGAGACACATTCCTTTCTCAAGTGGATAGAGGCGGACGAAGAAAAGCAGAAAGCGATATATATATATATATATATATATATATATATATATATATATATATATATATATATAAAAGGGAGACAATAAAGATTTGGGGACCTGACATACGCCCCCCTAAAAGAACGAGAAATCCACCTAAAAGACAGAAAGGGGAGGGGAACAACAATATATACACATTAATTAAGCTTATCAGGATATTGAGAATGGAACTTCTTAGAAGTTTAGGGGCTCTAACATGTCTCTTGTACACCCACTCATTCTGAGCAGAAGGGAGATTCTTCCAAGCTACTGAGTATTGTGTCACCCCATGATGTATTCGACAGTCCAAAATGTCCTTAATCTCAAAGTGTTGTTCACCCTCAACCATGATAGGTGTAGGCGCCTGAGGAGCAGGAGGCCTAAGGTTAGAAGTGACCTCTGGTTTGAGTAAACTGCAGTGGAAAATGGTTGATTTTCCATAGGTTCTTTGGCAAGTCTAATTCACAGGATTGATGATGCATTTGATAGGGAAAGATCCTACAAATTTAGGGCCTAATTTTTTAGATGGCTTTAAAGATTGCAAATACTTTGTGGAGAGGTATACTCGGTCTCCAGCTTTATATGGTTTTTGCTCCATCCTCTGTTTATTGGCCTGAACCTTATAGGCTTCTCTGGCTTCATTCAGAGCTTTCCTGACTACAGGCTTCTTGACAGGAAGTTCAGGCATGACCACAAATGTTTGACCATTAGCTACTTGAAATGGAATAAAACCTGTACTGGAATGCACAGCATTGTTATAAGCTACCTCAGCAAATGGTAACAGGCCAGACCAATTATCTTTTTGATAATTAATGAAACATCTCAGGTATTGTTCTAGAACTGAGTTCAGTCTCTCTCTGTCCCTCCATTCGTTTGAGGATGGTGCAAAGATGATAGCCCTTGACTAGAACCCATCAAGTCCAGAAAAGCTTTCCAGAACTTAGAGGTGAATTGAACCCCTCTGTGTAAAATTATACATTATGGGGCCCCATGAAAACGATATACATTCTGCACAAAGAGTTTGGCAAGGCTCTTTGCAATTGGGATCTTGGGGCATGGGATGAAATACACTTGTCTAGAGAATAAATCTGTTACAACTCAAAGTACAGTGTTTCCAGCACTTTCAGGCAGTTCTACAATAAAATCTATGAGATCTCTCTCCAGGGTGCTGACAGACTTGCTACTGGTTGAAGCAATTCTGGGGATTTTCCTTGTCATCGTTTAACCACTGCACACATGGGGCAGCTGGCTACATAGCTTTCTATATCTTTTTTCAAAGCAGGTCACCAAAACTGCCTTTTAATGAGATGTAAAGTTTTTACAAATCCAAAATCCAGTTTTTGAGTCATGCCCTGTTTTCATTACTTTAAGCCTTAAAACTGCTGGGACATAAAGTTTCTCCCCAATCCATGCTAGTCCATCTTTTAACACACGCAGGTTATTGTGGTTTTGAAACCACTCATCGGTCTCTAATGCAGTTTTAAACTCCTGTAATAGTCTTTTCAAGGGGAGCCACAGGTTTCAACTGGGCTCTGGTGGTTACAGGAGCTGCTAATTGATGAGGGTGCAAAAATAGTTTAGTCACTTCTGCTTTCTTGCTATTATATTGTGGTAATCTGTACAATGCGTCAGCTAGGAAATTCTTTCCCCCAGGGAGATAATGAATAGTGAAATCAAAACAATGGACACGTTGAGACCATCTTGCATGTTTAAGGGAGAATTTCCTGGGGGTTTTCGTAGCTTCAAGATTCTTATGATCAGTCCATACTTGAAATGGGATTTTACTCCTCTCTAGGAAATGCCTCCATATTAGGAGAGCCCATCATACAGCATAAGCCTCCTTCTCCCAAGCTGCCCACTTTTGCTTAGTCTCTGATAATTTCCTAGAAGTATAAGCACAGGGTTGTAATTGTCCTTCCTTATTTCTTTGTAATAACACTGCTCCAAAAACTACATCACTAGCATCTGCTTGAATTATAAATGGCTGTTCTGGGACCGGGTGTTTCAAAACTGGCTCCATAGAGAAAAGTCTTTTAAGTTTCTCAAAAGCTGCTTGACGCTCCCCTGTCCATTTCAACGGTTGGCTGGGCTTTGGCTTGTCCCCCCTCTGGTTTTTAACAAGTTTGTGATTGGGAGGGCAATCTGTGCAAAAGATGGAATGAATTGATTGTAAATACTAGGAAACTTTGGAGTTGTTTCCTGGTTTTTGGAGAGGCCCAGTCCAAGACACCTCTCACTTTCTCTGGGTCCATCTCTGTTTCCTCGTTCGATATACGGTAACCCAAGTAATCAATATGATCTTTGTGGAACTCACACTTTGGCAGTTTGGCATACAACTTAGCAGAGCGCAACTTTTTTGGTACCGCTCTGCCCAGTTTAATATGTTCATCTTTGGTTTCGGTATACATAAGGATATCAACCAGGTAAACCCAACCCCCTTTGTACAGGTGATCATGTAGGACCTCATTAATTAGTTGCATGAAAACTGCAGGAGCCCCTTGTAGGTAAATGGGAGAACTTTAAATTGGAAGCAATCAAGGGGGCAGTTGAAAGCAGTTTTCCATTCATCCCCTTTCTTTATCTGTATCTGCACTTTTGATAAGTGCACTAACATATCTTTCATTAAAGATAGTGGGTATATGTTTTCCACACACACAGCATTAAGACTCCTATGATCCATACACAGATGAAGAGAGCCATCTTTCTTTTCTCTGAACAATACAGGGCTGCTACCTGGGGTCTGGCTGGCTCTATAAAAACCTGCTCTAAATTCTTTTTGATGAACTTTCCTAGTTCGTCTAATTCCCTTGAGTTATAGAGTACATTTTTGGCTTTGGTAGTTTTGCCCGTGGAGTGATTTCTATAGCACAGTCTGTGGATCAGTGAGGGGGGAGTTCGTCTGCCCTCTGTTCACTAAAAGCTTCAACCAAATTTCAGTATTCCATTGGGAGGGCTTTCAAGTCTGACTCACTGAAGGCAGAAGCAAAATTGCAGCGTAATCCATATCTCCCACTTAGAAGCAGGCAGGGCTCCCCCTTTTGGAAATTTTAACTGTCCTTCCTTCCAGTTGACCATGGGATTCCGCTTTTTTTAACCAAGCCAGACCCAGGACTAATGGTCACTCCATCCCTGGGGCCACAATAAAAGCTAAAGTCTCTACATGATCTCCCAGGTCAATACACAGTGGTCTGGTGGTAAAGCTGGTGGGAACCCCCTCTGCCACGGAGCCATCCAGTTGGCAGAAAGTAATTAGGATTTTAGTCTCCTGAGGGATATGCCCATTTCCTCACTAGTTCTGAGCTAATAATGCAGCGGATACACCCAGAGTCCAGTACTGCAGCTAACTTTACTGTCTTTCTAGTGCCAGGTATAGAGAGTTCTAGGGGCACTGTTATAGGGTCAATTGGCCCACTCACCAATGGGTCATCCTTGTAGTCATCTTCTGCCACTCCTGGGACATCGTGACTTGGAGTCAGAGCTCAACCCTCTCAGTTGCGATCCCATGGGAGCTCTACGACTTCCTTGGAACTCATCGCAGTCTCCCTGGGGTTTGGTGAGGCTCTTAGAGGTTTTCCAGCTGGTAGACGATCCCCTTCTTGGTTGGTGCCTTGCTGTGGCAATCCTTGGCTCGATGTCCCTCTTTACCATATTTGAAGCAGGCAGTGCTACGAGCTGGAGCAGGCGAACTTCATGCGGTCTCCCCTCGTTTCTCTGACTGTGGCTTGAAACTTGGTTTCACCAGATGATGTAGTTGCTTATGTTGGTCAATTTCTACTTTCTCGGCTACTAGGCACCAGTTGTACAGCCACCCCGGGGCTCCACGGGCTATGCAGGCATTGTACAGCTTGTTGAGCCCATCCTGGAAACAGCTTACCAGGATGTTTTCCAGCCAGCGAAGGCAACTGGCCAGCTCTCTGAATTCTTCACTGTATTCAGCGACTGGTCTCCTTCCCTGCTTCACTGTCTTTATGCACTCCCAGGCTTTCTTGTCTGCCAGCCGGGCTTCAAACCGTCTATGGAGAGCAGCCATAAATGGTTGAAATTCCTCAATTTGGGTGTGTTGCAATTCTACAAGGTCACCATCCAGTCAGCTGCTCCACCTTCCAGGGCTAGGGTGATGACTAGCACCTTCTCAACATCAGTAGACAGTGTTCTCCCATAGATTTGCCTGTAGGTGAACACTTGTGCCAGGAAATAGCCCAGGTGCTTTGGGTTCCCTTCAAACTTCACTCCGATCAGGATTGGTTTCACCTTGGCTGGTTGAGGTGGTCTGCCTCTGGTTCCTTGAGATGGATGGTGATGCTGCCTCCTGGTCTTCAGCTGCAGCCGTCTCGGAGACCTCTGACTCTTCTTCCTTCGATTCACCTTCTAACTCTTCTTCCGATTTGGGGCTTTCTTTCAGCTGTACCATACACTTGTCAAGGGCTTTTTTCAAATATTGCATCACAGCTTCCATCGTCCCCGATTTCAATTCTTCTTTTTCCCCTTCTTTATCAGGAGGGGCAGGTTCTGCATTTTTCTTCTTTGCCTTTTTCTTTCCTCTGCCTCGGGTAAGAGTAACTTTTGGGGCTTTCTCCTCCCATCTTTCTTTCTTATCAACCCCGAGTGACCATCTGGCTGTATCTTCTCCGCCAGAAGTCTAGCTTCTTCCAGATCCCTGGAAAGGCTTTCATCAACTTTTAGGCAGAGGAGATCTTCAGCCCATTTCTCTGCCTGGAACTCCTCCATGTAGAAATCATTGCGACTCCTTTGGTAGGGCAGCAGCTTCTACAGATTGAGTACTATGCAGATCTCGCCTTATGTAAGAACCCACCTCAGGTAACCACCCAAGAAAGCAGAACTCTTGAAACAGGCATTGTCTCAAAAGGAAACTTTTATTAGTGGTTAGTGACAGGGAAGTCAAGGCACAATCTGGAGAAAATCCTGCTTAAATGGTATAGTTAAACCAGCAATATTCCTCCTCCCACCATAATCATAATGTCCATTTGAAATTCAGCCAATCCACAAGTGGCAACGATGTGTGGGTAACTAGCACAGTTGGCTTGAATCTAAGGTCTTCTCCAGTTTTGTTTCTTTGTAAACTCTCCCTGATAAGGGAGACACATTCCTTTCTCAAGTGGATAGAGGTGGATGAAGAAAAGCAGAAAGCGAAAGTAATCCCAAGCGAAACCAAATAACCCCTCTCTCCTCAATTAAATGGCAGGCCCCAAAGCAAAGCACAAGAATATATATATGAAAGGGAGACAATAAGGATTTGGGGATCTGACAGAACATTATCTTTTTTCCTCTGTTTCTGTCCTCCATCCAGTGGTGATTTATTCATTGAGCTGATTGTGGCCTTTACTGCACTCATACCAAAAAAGATACACATGCATCAGATTCTACTGTGAATTAAAGGGAATGTGTTCAAAGGACTGCATAAATAAACAAAACATCTATAATTCTTTGAAGCTTTTTAATGGTATTTTGGCCATGCCAATTTTTTTATTCAAGTAAGGAAACAAAAAACCCCAAATATTCATGGAATATTTCATTTTCCCAATTTTCAGTCTTGTTTAAAAGTGCTGTTTTTTCCCCTCTCTATCTTTTGCAGAGCAAATATCTCATAATAATTCAAGCACTACCAATAGTGTTCATGCCTCCAATGTCAACAGCATAGTTTCTGAGCTTGAAGGCTACTTAACTGCAGAAACAATAGCACCATCTCTTGGACAGTCGATGCTGGAAAGGGTTAGCTTCCTTCTAAGCATGCCCCAATCACAAATATATCCAGTGTCTAAAAGGTATGTGTCTATAATGTAAGAAACATATTTCTGTATAAAATCTTTTTCTTGAAATGAACATTGTGTTTACAGATGTCCTGTGATTTTTTTTAAGGTCTTTGAAATGTAATTTTTCATTGTTTTCCAAATATATTTCACATCATCCTCTTGAGATGGTATAGAAGAAAAACTATATTATTTCTCAAGAAATTTAACTTTTCGTAATAATTATCTTTATGAACGTGTTTGTACTTTAATGTAATTCAACTGAGATAAGTTTTCATGAAATTATTGTACTTTTAAAAATCAGCAATAAAAAGCACACATGTAATTATCTATATTACTATCTCAATAGAATAATAAAAATAGTGGATGTAATTGGATTAAAATTGAAATTCTCAACAACATCCATTAATCTTACCACTCCTACTTTGGCTCTGGCTGTCCTGAAAGTCAACAGTAGCTCTTTTAGCAAAGTTTCTTTTGCTGTTCAACATTCCTCAGATCTTGAGGTAAGCCATATTTTTTTACTTTTAAAATTTCTTTCGGGCTTTAAGTAACACTCTTTATAATATAAATTTGAGTGTAGAATTTGTTAGTAAATCCAAAGTCCCCAAAGCTAAATATGTATCAGAAGAGCAGATAAATACAACTCTTGATTAGATTTTTGCCCATTTTTTTAATTAGGAATGTATTTTATGCAAGTCTCCTCAAAAACAAACCACACCATTTTAGGTTGCTTTTAAATAATTAAAAATTAAAAGTATAGGATCTGTACATTGTATAACCTGATACAGGCAGGTATACTGGTGTACTTTATTGTGAATACATCTTGTATGTCTATTTAACTAGCCCCGGCTGGGCTTTTGTTTTTAAAGAATGTAATACAGGTAGTCCTCAACTTATGATTATAATTGAGCTCAGAATTACAATTATAACTCTTGCCAGTCTTCAAGTGGGTCATCACAAGAGCATGTCTGACTACAACCTTATTTGCAGTGGTTAAGCAAATGTGATGATAATCAAATAAATGCAATGGTCATTAAGCAAATATTTTTGCCATTAAGCAAAAGCAAAAAAAAACATTGTAAATTGCAGTCATGTGACTGTAGATAGTTGTAAATGCAAGCAACTTGCTGAGTGTTAAAAATGCTGTCACAGGACTGGGGTAGGGTCTGGTCATTGAAATTTCAAATCCAGGTTATAAGTACCTTTTTGGGGGAGATTAATTGTAACTTTGAATGGCTACTAATATAGTGGTGCACTTTTTGTCTTTTGTAAAGAACGGCAATAAGCATAACACGTAAACTTTTCAATCTGAAAAACCTATTGAAAGGTTCTGTAACTGGAACAAAAAGCAATTGTTTAGCCCAGGGCTTTTCAACCAGTGGTATATGTACCACCTGTGGTACATTAGCACGTGGCAGATGATACGCGGCCCTGCCCAGCCAAGTGTAGTGGGAGAGGGAACGAGCCAGCACATTGCAGGACTTATTGTGAGAGAGTCCTCCAGAGCTGCAGAATGACTGGGGTGAGGCACAGGCCCCAGGCTCACCCAGAAGAGAAAGGAGGAGGGGGCAGAGACAGGAGAAGCTATAAAAGGAGGCAGTTTGGATGGGGGAGGGGGGAGAGAAAAAAGAGGCAGCCTTGGGAGGAGGCAGAGTCAGCTCTAGCTGCACCGAAGGGAAAGAAGAAGGAAGGTGGGGGGAGAGGAGAGGAGATCAAGCAGGCCAGCCATGAGGTGATCTACAACTTCTGTGGTAGCCATCCATGCTGGCAGCAACAGAGAGGCAAGAAATGCAGCGGGGGAGGGGTCGCCCTCCACAAGGAATGAAGAAAGGTAGCAATGAAGAAAGGCAGCATCGGCTGGAGGTGAGGCAGGGAGGGAGGGAGATGGAGAATGGAAGGATTCTTATGTGCTTTTGTGACTTTGAAGTTCTGGGATTTGTGCAATGTGGGCTTTGTGTTCTTTTTTTTGACAATATTTTATTAAGTTTAATAAAGGTAGGGGAAAAACAGGATCAATATAGGTAGTGGGATTCGGGGGTGGGTGGGGATGGGGGTGGGATGATGGTAAGTACAACAATGGGGTTACCCCCAATAACATTTCCAAGCTTTAGCAAGCAAACTATTGTCTGGATAGAGATATTCAATGAGAATAGTTAATATAATAATAAGTAGCTATAGTCAACAAAAAAAGAATACTTATAGAGTATGTCAATTAATCAGTAAACATCAATCATCTTATTAAATTTCACAATCATTTCTCGCTAACTCGGTTTGCTAACCATTGGTAAAAGTTTTCCCATGTTTTAAAATAGACTGAATCTTCTTTCTCTTTAATCTCTGGGGTTAGTCTGTCCATTTCTGCACATTCTAGGATTTTCCTAATCATGATCTCACTAGGTGGTACATTTTCATTTTTCCAATATTGGGCAAATGCTATTCTCGCAGCTGTCAATATATGTAATATTAAATACTCATTCTCTTTCCCATAGTTAGATCCTAGTATTCCTAACAAAAACAATTCTGGCTTAAGTTCTGTCTGTATTTTAGTCATCTTCTCCAGCCATATATGAATCTTAGACCAAAATTTCTTTGTACTAGGACATACCCACCAGATATGGTAATAAGTGCCTGGCTTTTACATTTCCAACAATTATTCAAAACATTTTAAAACATTTTCACTAGCCTAACTGGTGTCATATACCATCTATAAAACATTTTATATAGGTTTTTGTTATATGAAGCTGCTTTAGTCAGTTTAATATTTCTATCCCATAACTTTTGCCAAGCTTCTAAGTCTATAGAATATCCAAAGTTTTTTGCCTAGACTATCATTGTCTCTTTTACTTGTTCTTCTTCCATCTTTCAATTTAGCAGAAATCTATAAAGTTTCTTAATTAAATTTTCATCTGTTTTCAAGAGTATTTGGTCAAATTCTATCTGTTCTATATAAAATCTCATTGTCTTTACATCTTTCTCATATCTTGTTTGTATTTGTAGGTAAGGCCACCATGCTAGGTCAATACCTTGTTGTTGTAGGTCTTGCCTTTAAGTTTTCCGTCCTTATCCAAAATGTCTTTATAAGTAACGAGTTTGTCGTAATTAATTAAATTTGGGTAAGCAAAAGCTTCTGGCTTTGTTTTCTTAAAGTGTGTTTGGCAATTTCTATTTGGCTGATGGCTGATGTCTTGTGTTAGATTCTATTGCTCTGCTATTATTAGCTGTAAATTTTGCTGCAAGGGATTTTGAAGTATTTTTCTCCTGAATGGATTTTGCCTGCAGCGTTCCTTTACTTATGAATGGAGTCATTTGGGGAGGCTGCCTTAGCCGGCAGCCAGTACTTACTACATTTTTTTTCTTCCTTAAGTGCCAGCTGCCAGCTCCTTAACTTTCCTTTCTGGCCAGTAGCTAATTCTTAAAGGGGAATGCGCCTTTTTAAGCTAGTTCCTTCAGCAGCTTGTCTTTCCTGTCTCTGGAGGCTTTTCCTTGTTTGATGAATATATAGAAGAAGGAAAATATGGGGAGGGGTGTGTCAAATTTTCCTTCAGAAGGAGATGGGAATGAAAAAGAGGGAGGCAGGAAAGGAGGGAGGCAGGGAAGGAAGTCCCACCTTAGCACTTGGCCACCAGCAGCCCTGCCATTGACTTTGCTTGTCAAAAGGTTGCAAAAGGGGATCACATGACCATCATAAATATGAATCAGTTATCAAGCATCCAAATATAAATCATATGACCCTGGGCATGCTGCAATTGTCATAAGTATGAAAAATGGTCAACTTTGAACAGGTTTTTTTTTTTTTTTGGTCATCAAGTTTTTGACACTTTGCTGGGTAGTACTCAAATATTGCCATATCCTAAAAGTGGTACAATCGGTGAAAAGGTTGAAAAGCCCTGGTTTAACCTAACTATTGCTATCTTGCTTTTGTAATCAGCATTTGCATCAGGGACAAATTTCATGCAAGCTCACAACTGTACTACATACTCAAGTCACTTCCTCCTACTAGTCTGCTTGTGGACCAGATCTAAACATATCATGATCTGGATCTGGCCCACAGGCCTTGAGTTTGACATGTCTGGTCTAGTGGTTAAGACATCAGGCTAGAAACCATGAGACCATGAGTTCTAGTTCTGCCTCAGACATGAAAGCCAATAAGGTGATTTTCTCTCACTTTCTCTCAGCCCAGTGGTTCTCAACCTTTCTAATGCCGTGACCCCATAATACAGTTCCCCATGTTGTGGTGACCCCCAACCACTTATACATCACCGGGTGCCAGGGGCGTGGCCAAAGAAAAGGGGAAAAAATGGCGGACAGCCTTGTTTGGCGACCCCCGTGAAATGGTCGTTCGACCCCAAATGGGGTTCCGACCCACAGGTTGAGAACCACTGTCTTAGCCCAACCTCCCTCATAGGCTTGTAGTAGAGAAAACAGGAGGAAGAAGGAATATTATGTATGTTCCCCACCTTGATTTTTTTATAATAATAATAAAGATGGGATAAAAATAAATAAAATTATGTGCCTGCTTTTCATGCCTCAAGAATGGATGCTTCTAGGATCATTCACAAGAAAGATACATTTCGGTCTGGAGAAGATGGATAGATTATATTCAGAATAAATATGGGACTAAAAAGTTCCATCTAGTTTATGAGTAAATTTATAGTATTATTATTATTAATAGCTTATTATAGTAGAATTTTTATTAGTTTTATTATTATTTTTAGTATTAGTATTGTTAACAATTTGGATATTGTATTGTTTAATAATATTGACTTTTTATATTATTATGTTTATTTTTAATTTGTTTATACCTATGTTAAAGGGGAGTTAAAGCGCATTATGGACTTGGTTATTATATGGTTGGTTAATGTTAATTAGAGTTTGATTATTATATTTGTAACCCTGTACTCAGCTCTGGGAAGTGGGGGAGGGAGGGTTTTTTTTAGGGTGGGTGGGTTTTGGGGTGTATACTGTAATTTTTATAAAACTTTTCAATAAAAAAAAAGAATGGATGCTTCTTTTACATTAATGTTGATCTATTATACAAAGCACAAGCATATAGATTAATTATCTATTTTTAGGGAACAATGTGTTCTTTTTTTTCTTTTTTTAAAAAAGGCTACCCTTGGAACTGAAGTGCCATCAAAGGTTATTGGAGCCATTACACTTCCATCATCATTAATGGCAGACTTGAAACCTCAAGATAAGCATATATCTTCTAGAATTACATTTAACTTTTTTAAAAAAACAACTCTATTCCAGGTATTTTTATAGTTTCAAAGCATGCTTGAAATTTTTAAATGTAATCTATTGTTTATAGCAATCAAAATTATACTTAATTAATAAGATATACATGGTTGTATTTCATAGGATTCTACACTGAAACAATTCTCTTTGTTCAGTTATGTTATATCATCCAGTATTGCTAACCTTTCAGTCAACAACTTGAAGACAAATGTGACTGTCACGCTACAAAATATCAGGCCTAATCAGGTACCAATTCATACATTATATTTTATTTTCTTATGCTTTATTTCAGAAATCAATCATTTTAACTACATTTAGATATTTTTATTAATCTAGCTGAATAATCTTAAATCTAGATACAATTTACCTAATTATGTTGTCATGAGAGCTGTATGCAACGAAATTTTATTTTGATGTATGCTAATTGGTGTACATTCAAAGTGACAATAAAGTTGTTGTTATTATTTATTATTATTATGGATCGTCGCACAGTCAGCCAGATGTTCAGACTGGATCTGGCATTTTGCCTACCTATCGAGTCCTTACCCAGGACCTGTTGTTGTTGTTGTTGTTGTTATTATTATTATTATTCTGACATAATGCAGGCAGATATGTCTTTCAAACTGAAGCTGCATATCCATATTTATACTACTAATAAAAAAGGTTCATTTCTGCTAATTTTTCTTTGCATTACTAAATAGAGATTTTCTAAGCCTTTTTGTATAAGGTTCAAAAGCTGCTTGATGTTTTGCATGTTTTGACAGATATCCAGAACAGTCCTACGCACTCAGTTCCTCATGATTTATTCTTGGTACTAGTACTTTCTATTTGTAAAAACAGGAATAAATTAGGGTCCGGTTCAGAGGACTCACCTGTGCAAACTCTGTAGGAAGTATCTGTGGTATTTTACAATTCCTTGTAGCTCTACAGGAACAGTCTGAAGTGATAGATGTACCTACATCTAAGCAAACAAGTGGTACTTCTTTTTAATATATGAGTCATGTGATATGTAGCTAAGCTTTTTTTTCCTCTTCCAATCAGGCAAATTTGACTGTTAGATGTGCCTTCTGGGATAAAAATGGTATGTTTCACGATCATGTGACTTCATTTATGTTAACTAAGCTAGTTAAAAACTATATTGCTTATAATATGATAATAGCAGTATTTTAATGTTTGGCAGATGGCCAAGGCAGTTGGAATTCTGAAGGTTGTATGGTAAAAGAAAGAACAATGAATGAAACCATCTGTAGCTGCAATCACCTGACAAGTTTTGGCATATTACTGGTAATCCTTATACTATCTAAGCAAAAGCTGCATAGAGGCTTAGTGCGTCTTGAGAGTTTCTCAGTGGCTGTAATGTGGGATGGAAAGGGAGAAAAGGCAACTTATTTCAAGGTTCACAGGGTGCCATTATAAGAAGTTTAAAAATATGAAGCTTCTGGATTCAGGAATAGGAGGCGGGCAGGCAGAGGAAATGGTTCAAATTTATAGAAACACTAAATACCGATAGTTCTCGATTTACAACCATAAATGAGCCCAAAATTTCTGTTGCTAAGTGAAACATTTGATAAGTGAGTTTTGCCCATTTTACAACTTTTCTTGCCACAGTGGTTAAGTGAATCACTGTAGTTGTTAAATTAGTAACACGATTGTTAAGTAAATCTGGTTTCTCCATTGACTTTGCTTATCAGAAGATCGCAAAAGATGAACACATGACCCTGGGACACTGAAACCATCATAAATATGAGTCAGTTGTCAAGTGTCTGAATGTTGATCATGTGATCATGGGGATGCTACAACGGTTGTAAATGTGAAAAACAAGTCATAAATCACTTTTTTCAGTATTGTAACTTCGAATGGTCACTAAATGAACTGTTGTAAGTTGAGGACTACATGTAACCTGTAAATCATTGGGTTGTTTCAGAGTTATTTCCTTACCAGATATCGCAATGCCTTCAAAAATGGCAGAGCTTCTAGTGTACTTGAAAAGTTCCTAAAAATTTAGAAAGATATTCAGAGATGTATATGTCTTGAAAGTAGCCCATGCTTAATAACATAGCACAGTCAAACATTAGCAATTGACCTTGAGAAATGTTTTAAGACATTTTGTATTATGTTATAAATGCTTTATGATCATTTTTGTGTGTCATAAAATTAATAAAATTGGTCTCAGATGTTTGATGCATTCTATAAGTTAACTTATTTGAGATACCTTAGGTCAGGGGTGTCAAACTGCTGGCCCACGGGCCATATGCATTAAGGCGAAACCACATCCACCCATTGCCGGGAATGGAAAAAAAATCATGATATGTCGCAACATGTCACGTGATGCTGCAAGTTTGACACCCCTGCCTTAGGCGAAAAGGTTTGCCCTATGATGCATCATTTCATCCATTTAAAGTTTACAGACATGAGAGTTTTGGTAGTATATAGATGTTTGTGTGTGTGTTTATTTAATTTATATCTCACATTTGTAACTCTAAGCAACTCACATAATTAATGGATATAGCATACATGTATACACACAAATATACATATAGCTGTGTATATTGACAAACTGCTAAAATTTAAACAGATTTTTAAAAAATATTTCTCTTTCTGTTTAGGATTTATCAAGAAACCCCACTATATCTCCAGTTCAAGTGCTAATTCTAACTTTCATCACCTACATAGGTTGTGGACTTTCAGCTATTTTTCTTTCTGTGACTCTTGTTACCTACATTGCATTTGAGTAAGTACTTGGCTATGCTAAATTATATGGCATGTTTATGATATTATAAGGCATCTTTGATTAGCCTGAGAAAGAATTGTTATAAATAACAGCTGAAAAGTAAAACAAGGTTAGATTACAACCATTTTATTTAGCTAGGAACTCAAGTGTAGAAATGGAAAAACAGTAGGTCAGATAAGACAAATTGATTTTCTCAATTCATTTCATAATAAAAAATATATCAACATATCCTAGAATTTTTGATTCTAGAGTTAGTGATTTAAATGAGTAGCTTGCACAGATTTTTCTTTCACAGATTTCAGATGGGTCTATTCAAGGTTTTCCTCACCTGATACCTTTTCACCTGGAGAAAATCCTGTTCCTTGTTTTTTTTATTCTCTGGTTTCTCTCTATATTTCATTAGCAAAATATTATAGAGATTTTGTTCCTGCAGTTTTCAAGTAATAACTTTTGGTACTTCAGTAATTACAGTTTTATAATTTAGTAACTTGCCATTATTAGAAAAACATATTTACAGCTTGTCATGGAAGTAAAAAAATAACTAATGTAGAAAGTTGTAATTTCAGGTAGAAATTGCAAGGATTCTCATGCTTTTATGATCTTACAACAGTATTTGAAAAAGGCTACAATGTTTAAGAGATTAAAACAATATAAATATTGCCTGTATCATATTGTATATTATTAAATGTATCAAAAAAGGTGTCAGCTTACATATTTAATTTATTTGAGTTTATAGGAAAATCCGAAGAGACTACCCATCTAAAATTCTTATCCAGCTCTGCATTGCTCTGCTTCTTTTAAACATATTTAATTTATTGCTGATTCTTTTGGATTGCTCTGTATCCGAGATCCAGGGTCTGTGCATTTCCATTCTACTGCCTTATCCAGCTCTGCATTTCTCTGCTTACTTTTGGATGGGGTTTTCCTTTCATATGGACTTGCCCTGTACGAGATCCAGTATTCAATACATACGTGGCTGTGCATATTCTAAAGTTGCTGCCTTTATCATTATTTTCTTTTGGTAAGTCATATATATGGGCCTTGAAGATCATATGAATTTATCAATTGCAAATCCTTGACTACACTGAAAGTATTTCATTCTACATAAGAAATATATGTGGAATGTTCTGGATTCATGCTCAAAGTATTGATCCATATCTATATATATAACCATATTGTTCTTTGAGTAGTACTAGGTGTCTGGCACCTGTCAACTTAATTAATTATGACCAAATTCCATGTCTCTCTTCTTTGTTGCCAGTTTCATCTAATGGACACCCAGAGTTTTTGTTACTCAGATGTTTTGTCCCAGGTCGTCTACGCATTTCCCATGCCTTCATGGTCTGATATGCCGGGCGTAGGTCCACATGTCGATTGATTGACATGCTGTCTGAGAACCAGGCTTCTTTGAGTAACCTACCACTCTTGGAGGTGTCACTGGCAACCACCCGTACGTCATCAAAATTAAATTTATGACCAAACTCCTCCATGTGAGTCAGTATTTGGGAGTACTGCTCACCTCTTCTTATTGCCAGCTTGTGTTCCTGCATTCTTGTTCCGACCCTTTTGGAAGTTTCTCCCACATAATTGCCGGGACAGTCATTACAGTTAATCCTGTAAACGACTCCAGATCTCTCAACTATGGGGAGTGGGTCCTTTGGTCTCATAATGCAGGAACGCAATGTCCGGTCAGGTCTATGTGCAACCCTTACACCATAGGGTGCCAATAGTCTGGTGGTGGCTTCTGAGACATTGCTACTGTAAGGGAGGGTAATACGAGTCGTCTGTGATGGTGCCATCCCACTTGATGGATTTTGGGATGGTTTGGACAGAGTACTGTGGCGTCTGATGAATTTCATGGGGTACCCATTGTACCTACAGAGACGGAGGAGATGTTTTCTTTCCTCCATCCTAGCTTCGGCTGTACTGCAGTGGGAGTCCACCCTCTTAAAGAGGGTTCTAATGCAGCTGACTTTGTGGGCCACCGGGTGATTGCTGTTGTAGTGCAAGATTCTATCGGTGTGCGTGGGTTTGCGATAGACCCGGGTGGTTAAGGTCCCATCTGGCTGGCGTTGGACTAAGACATCAAGAAATGCCAGCCTACCCTGATACTCCTCCTCCTCCGTAAATTGCAGATCCACGCACACCGAATTAAGTATGTCCACAAAGTCAGTCCATGCGTAGAGTTTAGGTGTGGCTATGCTTATAAGCAGGTTTCCTCACTAACTGGCTTGTATCCTGATGATGATGGCAGATGTTAGCCATCGAAAGCTTGATTTTATTTATTAAAACCTTGGTGTTTTACTTCCTGGTGATCGCTTTCCTTTTTTACTGAAATATATGTACCCAGGAATCGCTATTCTTCAATTTTTTTATATATATATATATATATATATATATATATATATATATATATATATATATATATATATATATATATATTGTATACTGTTGGTTTGAACAGGGCTAATATTCATGAAAACATTTGGTTTTGAAGCACACTATAACCTTTGCAAGTAACTTTCCCTCTCAGTTTATCACCCAAAAAAGGTTAAGAAAATACATATATATCATAATATTTAACAGCTTATAATACTAACATTGTTAATACCTTATATAGAAACTCTTATGGTATTTCTTATGCTTCCTACTTTGAAAAGACTAAATTTATGTAATTTATATTAGGTAAATAAGTGAACATTCATATTAG